GATATCCTCACTCCCATGTTCCTTCCAGCATTATTCATTATATTCAAGATACAGAATCCACTTCTACGTTTCTTGATGAAAGAATGGATAACAAATGTGCAATGTTAAAATATATCTTGAAAAAATTGTTACTTAAAGCTTTATTTTGTATGAACAGAGCATCTATTTTYCTTTTATGCTTTTATTGTTGTCATTTTGCACTTCTAGAAATAAAAACTCAAGCCAGATGTGCTAATGCATGCCTGTAATCCCAGTTATTCTGGAGGTTGAGGCAAGAGGGTTGAAAGTTTGAAGTCAGACTCAAACACACACATACACACACACACACACACACACACAACATGGGGGACAGATGGAGAATGCCACAGAGTTCAATCCCCAGGATCACACACCTAATAATCAAAATATGTGCAATAATTTGAAAATTAAAAAAAAAAATCAGTGAGTTCTGATGTAAGATCCCTCAAATATCCTGTTCTTCCTGGAATAATGATTCCATATCTTTTAATAGGTGACTTATTCAAAGAGAATACATATATGATAAAAGTATATTTTTAATGAGTTATTCTGAATGCTACTTAAATGTCTTGTGAGTTTTTAGAAAAGCAATGCCCATTTTTATAAGATCCATAACAATGTTTTATATGTTCCACCTTAGTGGACATGTTTCATTTTCTGTTTAATTCAGAAATTAGTGTCATGTAAATTACCAGCCTTTTAGTTTTATCATCAAATAAGTATGCCAACCCAAGGAAATGAAGGCAAATAGCCTAGTAAATGTTCTATGGGTTGGGAGATAGATTTGAGTATTGAACAGAATTCTGAACAAACAAGACACAAAACCTAAATGTTACATGAAGGAGGAAATGAGCTCATCAGCAAAATCTGTACCTCCTGGGGAAGGAGAGGGCAACCACAGCCAATCATGAAGGGCAAAGAGGTTCTTCAAAGACTAGGACCTGGGGATGTGGATCTGGGTATTATGTACTATGTACAATGCTGGCATTGTGCTGGTGGTTTATCTTGGAGAAACATCGTTCCCAAAATGGATGGCAGGAACACAACCTCACAAGATAATGCTAGTATTTGCAAAAAGACAATGATCACAGATTTGTTTTTAAGCCTTTGTCTTAAAGGGAAATAAATAATTTTACATTGTTATAGATCAAAAAAGCTGACTATATTTATCTACTTTCCAGACTGATTTATATTCTCTATATATTCCACTGTTAAAATGTTTTTTATCTTCTTTGATGTTAAAATATTTTGTTAGTATTTTGAGGAAATTATGTTTAAGATATTAAATGATGTAGTGATATAGAACAAGCATGAAACCATAGTTTTGCCACTAATTTGATAAATCATTCCTTCAACGAATATTTGTTGCATTCCTACTCTGTAGAGATAACTGTTCTAGATGCTAGACACAGTGTGGTAAGCAAAACACATAGACCCTAACCCTTCAGGAACTTAGTCTATGAGGAAAGTGGATATTAAGCAAACGATTTACAAATAGACATTTAGCATACCAGGTATGAATCTCAGTTTAGCAATTCAGTCATCCAAGAAACATATCTACATTTTCCAGAACTCAATAATTTTCTCATTCCAAATTTCCATTCCACTCAGCTGGCAGAAATAAACCTCATGCAAAGCAAGTTAATGTCAGTCCAACTCAGGCTTGGTTTCCTTCCATCTTACTCTGCGCCAAGGAATTTCTAGTATCAGAGATGCTGCTTCTTCAGTGTTTGGCTTCTTCAGTTCTAGTGGCTCGTGGTTGCTTCTGCACATCACTTGTTGCACAGGGAATAGTTTTCAAAGATGACTGTGGTCCCTCCTTAGTTGCTACTTTCTGTACAATATTTTTTAGCAACATGTTTTTTAGACATGGGTTTCCTATGTTCTGTGGCTCCCCAGGCTCCCTCTTTTCTGTATTCCCCCACATTTCCCATCCCTGAGGAAACATTGTATTTCTTTTTATGTTTAAGACACTTGGGTCTATGTCCCAAATACCTTCCCTAAGTTCTATGCTTTTATAGAACAAAATGGATGTCTTTGATTTATTGTCATTTTACATGTCTCCTTAAACTCATAAGCACAGAACTGGTCATTTGAGAGGAGAAAGATAAGGAGGAAAAATAAGGATTGAAACATTTCTAGATATTGTCCCTCAACCATAATTCCTGAAATGGTGCTATGTGGGAAATCCATGGAGGCTTGAAAACATTTAATGAAAGGACCAAATACAGTCTGGCTAGTCTTATGGGGTGGAGCTCAGAAACAATGTTCCTTACAAGTTGAGATATTAAGAGAGATCTGAGGGTGAGTAAAGAGTTAATATGCTGAAGGAGAGAGATGAGTTGGGAGCTGGCTGTACAACAGAACAATACATATGTGTTGAGGACGAATGGCAGGTGAATGCTGAGAAATATCAAGTTTACAAGCATTATCCTCTTTGGATAAWACCTTAATTGCAGAAAAATATTCATGCCTAAATTTTTGGGTACATTTCAGCAAATTATATGGACATTAACCATTTACTATACAGTAGTAGAAAGTATGTAAAAATTGTTCAAAGCTTTGTGCTTGTGTTCAAGCTTGACCAGTTACCAGTAGAATGGTCTTTGGCATGTTAAGTACCTCTCCAAGCCTTAATTATAACATTTGGAAAACAGATGCTATGATGATATTATAATTACTTGCCAGTCTTGTTCCATAGAATTATCTGAGGATACATGGGATAATGAATGTGAAAGTGTTCTGCAAACTGTAAAAAATGTGAATATGCATTATTACTACTATATTGATAACTCAATCTAGTCACAGTAAGATTCAACATTTTCTTGTAGAGAGACTCTTGTGACAAAATAATAAATATTAAGCATTCTAATTTATCATTTATAATTGTATATTATTCCATAGAGATGAGCCAAATCAATGCACTAAATATGATACAATTATTTAAGTAATGAGTATAATCTTCCTTTCCTATCTCAGCTGGAAGAGTAGCTAACAATATACTCTCAGAAAACAATAATGTAAGTTGTGTATGAAAGATGCCTGATAGGAAGTGACCAAATGAAGTAATGAACACCTGGCACAGTCGCCACTTCTAACCAGCACACTGATGTGGTGTGTGTTGTGTGTGTGTTTAAGGATAACATGAGATGGCTAATGGCTAAGCAGAATTTTCATTCAATTCTTAAAAACATATGGTAGGGGCTGGGAGTGTGGACCAGAAGTAGAGCACTCGCCTAGCATGCATGAGGCACCAGGTTCAATCCTCAGCAGCACATAAAAATAAAATAAAGATCTTGTGTCCACCTATAACTAAAAAATAAATATTTTAAAAAATATATATGGTAATTAGTTTACTACAAGGATTCAAAGCTAGCTAAGAAAGCAAGCAAATGACTCCTTCTGAAATTCCCAGATAAAAGGTAAAATTTAAAAATTGATGCTAATCTACAAGTATGGGTGAATCATTTAAGACTGTCAGTGCAGGGATGGGAAGGGTGGAGTAGAGTAGGTTCAGTGCTTTAAGATCAGTTGTCCAGAATCTGAACAGAACAGCTTTCTCATTTAGGTATGAGGAACCTAAAATATGTACATTTTTAAAAGATAAATAAATATATAATAAAAAGGAGCATATTTTTAAATCAAATTTTTATTTTCTTACACAAATTGTTATAGAAAGTTCAATCTTCTAGAAAGACAAAGATAATCTTATTCACTTGTATCAGTAGAAAATTTATAATCCTTATAACCTGACCTAAACTCTCAAATCTACCTGAAAATTCCCTTGCTTTTGTTTAAAAGATAGCTCCAAAGAAATGAAGACTGTGAAGCAATGGACACTTGAAAAAGGTAGTTCCCATTGTTGCACTAATTTAATTCTGTTTATATATATATGTGTGTGTATATATTTTTCCCTAGGGAGCTTAGTACACATGCTCTCCTGTCCACTTACAAGAACAGGCCACAGGACACAGTTAACAAACCCAGGACTTGTTAAATCACATGGAGCCACCTCTTTGCAATCTATATTTGGAGGAATCATCCCCCTATTTCCACAACCTGTCTCTAGTGTGACCTATACATCAGAGACTTTCTATTTTCTTGCTGAGTCCACTAAAGTCCGAGCTTAAAGTCCAGAGCAGATTCAGAGGAAGATGTCCTAGTTTGTTCCACATTAACTTTTCTCACTGAATTGGGAGAGTGGTGCCTGCTGGCCAAACAATATAATTCTGATATTTGCTGTTATGTTTGTCAGACAGTCTAACAAAGTTCTATAGCTGCATCTCTCAGATCAACGAGGATAAAATTTAAGGTTACAAATTGGATATGAGAATATACTGCTCTCATTATACTAAAAACTATGTAATTATAAATCTTGGAAAACAAAGCTTAAGGAGCAGATTAAAAATTGATGGAATTTTGTATTATAAAGATTTGGTTTAAGTAATTCTAATAATTTTGCTCTTATATCCTGTGAACTTGTTAACCTTGCTTATTCTAGTAGTTTTTTCACTGAATTCCTTAAATTTTCTGTGTATAAGATTTGCATCTTCTATGAATAAAGACAGTTTTATTTCCTAAAAAAATAATAATTTCCAAATTTGGCTTCTAAAGAAATAATTTTCTARTGCATTTGGTCATTTTATAAGTGTGGGTGTATATATAGTATATATATGAGTATACAGGATATATGAGTATAGCATATATATATATGTAATATAATATGTAATATATATACTCATATGACTAAGTATAAATACCTTAATTTCAACAAAATTCTTAGAACTTTTACTTTCATAACAAAGTAATCATATATTTCTGAAAAGTTCATTACATTTAAATGGAAGTTATATATCAAGTGTTGTTTTCTATAATCAAAATCCTAGCTTACAGCCTATTTATACAAACTATTAAATACTGAACACTGTTCCTTTTTCTTTAAACAACAACAACAAAATATTATAAATGATGAATTATCCTGGTTAGTTTGACTTGGGTCCAAGCAAAGCGTTTATTGCATCTCCCTGAAAAGAAAAGAAAAAAAGTCACACAACTGAAATGCAATAAAATGCAACTTAAAACGTAAAGTAATCTTTAAAATACCATTTAAAGTTTATAACTCAGTGATGCACATGTAAAAGGCATCCAATAAGAATGAAAATGGGAACAAATATGGTTAACTTTAAACAGTGACAGGTACTTCCTAGTATAAACTAGTTCTTTCCTATGAAAGATTCTTTTAATGAAATACGACAAATAATTTTATAAGAATTCAATAGAGAAAAATTTTAGTAGCTCTTAGTGAACCTTAATGCTTAAACCTGAGCTTTATGTTCTGTAAAATACCTGTAAAACTTAATGATATCTTCAGTTCTTTCATGATCTGTCAATGCTTCATTTAGTGAGAAGCACCTCTCAATTTCCATGTGGTTCTGTATTTTCATTTAATGATACTTACATCTTTGTACTAAAAAATGACAAAATTATCATATATAAAAGGATTAAAACCAAAGGTTTTTTTTTAAAGAAAGACAATAGAATATATAAGGAAAAGAAGCAGAAGACTAGTTTTCTCCATTGTCTAATAAATGTAATCTTGAGAAAATCAACATCTACTTCTAAAGATTGTTGTGAGAGCTGAATAGCTAATTTATGGGGAAAGGTTTTGTAACCTTAAAAAGTTGTAAACACTTTAGATAATATAAGTTTTGATAAACTGTATATGCATGGCATACATCATACCATCTTTGTCACTTTCCCATCCTTCAAGCCCTAACGTGCCAAATTAGTTGCCCAGTCCTGTTAATTCTAACCTTAATTTGTTTTTCAAACTTTCTACTTCAGTCTCTCACTTAGGAAAATGAAAATAGATCACTTCTCTAATTTGTTCAATGTTTATCCTCAGTGACTAAGGCAGAACTTGTCACATAGTACAAACTCAGTAAATAATCTTCAATGAATGAACAAATGGTCTATTTTTTTCTGCCTTCTATGTCTCTCAGAACTAATTACATATTAAACATTTATGTTTCTAAGATCCCATTTTGAACATTTCACTTTTTAAAACTTTTCCTTTATTTTGGAAAAAATGTAAATACTAAAATCACAGAGAAAAATGTGGCAAATATATTAGATTGAACTGTAACATTAAAAATAGTATCCAAGAGTGATTCTTTAACAGTTTACTTCCAAAAAAGACTACCTTCCTGCAATGCCCTATTGAAATTGACTTCCGTCAAATTCTTTAACTATAAATCTGTTCAAGGCAAGATTACACCCCTAGCAACCAGCCCACATCATGCCAGAAGAGCTGGAGCTTTCCCATCATGAATGTGGGGCAAATCCTGTCAACAGTTTGCTACATTATAAAGTTACAGATGCAACAGACTTCCTTAACAAAGACCCTAAAACTCAAGAAATAAAATCAAGAATCAATTAGTGGAATGCCATCAAATTGGAAAGCTTCTACACAGCAAAGGAAATGATTAAGAGCATGAATAGAGAGGCTACAGTATGGGAGAAAATCTTCTTAMAGGATATTAATATGCAGAATATGTAAAGAAGTAAAATCACATCAACTCTCCTTCCTAATAACCCAATCAATAAGTGGGCAAAAGAACTAAACATATTTTTCAAAAGAATAAACAAAAATGCACAACAATTATATGAAAAGTGTTCAACATCTCTAGCAATCAGGTAAATGCAAATAAAAACTATACTAAGATTTCATCTCACTCCAGATAGAATGGCAATTATCAAGAGCACAAACAATAATAAATGCTGGTGAGGATGTGGGGAAAAAGGTACATTTATACATTGCTAGTGATTGCAGATTAATATGACCACTCTGGAAAGCAGTATGGAGATTCCTCAAAAAAAAAAAAAACAAAGAATAGAATCATCATATGATCCAGCTATCCCACCCCTTGGTATTTATCCAAAAGAACTAAAATCAACATAATATAATGATATAGCCACCTGAAATTTTATAGAAGCACAATTCACAATAGCTATATTATTAAATCAACCAGAGGCCCATCAATACATGAATAGATTAAGACATTGTGGTATATACACACAATGGAGTTTTACTCAGACATAAAGAAGAATGAAATCATGGCATTTTTTTTTTTGGTAAAGCGATAGAAATGGAGAACATAATGCTGAGTGAAATAAGCCAGTCTCAGAAAATCAATGGTAGTGTTTTCTCTCATATGTGGAAGCTAGAGCAAAATAGAGGAAAGAAGGAGGGGAGGATCGGATATCATAAAGATAAGGGGAAGATCAGTAGAGTAGAAGAAGATTAAGAGAGGCAGGTTGGGAAAGGGGAGGAAACATAGAATGTTTTTAAAAAGCATACTATGTATAACTAGAAAGAACCAATCAAAAATAAATAGATAAGCAAAAGGAAGATCTGTAGAGGAAGGAGAAAAGGGAGGAACATGAACCAAAATCGAATTCCACGCATAAACGAATTTGTCCTGATAGACCCACTACAGTGCATAACTATAATGGTTAAATAGAAAAAATAAAGAAGAATTAAATTTATAGGTGCAAGCCTTGTGCTCTTGATAACTGCCATTCTATCTGGAGTGAGATGAAATCTTAGTATAGTTTTTATTTGCATTTACCTGATTGCTAGAGAAGTTGAACACTTTTCATATATTTGTTGTCCATTTTTGTTTATTCTTTTGAAAAATATGAAAAAATATGAAAACTAGGCTGATGTTATCCCTAACCATAAACCTGGAGCAGGTAAGACAGGACTCATTCAGGAAGGGCCAGAATGTCAGACATCATGTCACTTAAAATATCCAGGACACAAAAATTCAAGTCCTGCTGTGCAAGGCCACACAGGATGACCAGCAATCACAGAGGGATAAACATGGTCCAAAACTACTTTGATCTTTATGATTTTTTCCCTAATAAACACTTCTACAGCATTCTTGGTGAATGTACTGTCTGGTAGTTTGCCTTTTATAAACACATAGCCACCTAAATCAATGAATGCCATTTTTGCTTTGGATATTTTTAAGTTAAAAAAAAAAGAAACTTTACTGATAGCAATTAAAGCTCCCTTTATCCCCTAACCAATCTTGTTTTCCCCTTATCCCTCACTTCCCACAGGCTGCCTCCATAAATTGGTTGCATATCTTTCTTATAGATGAAATCCTTTAAACCTTTGAGACACTCTTGGTTGAAATTAATAAAAAATACAATAATGTTACTTGATAAGGTATTTTGACAAGAAATGATTTTGACATTACTTACTTTGAGACTTCAAATTACTATTATGGCTAAAGTTATTCTTTAAAAACTAAGGAAGACAAGGTATATCAATCAAGCATGAGTTCAGGTGTGACATCATACCCTATTAATAGGTTTTTGTTGCTGTTATTTAATATCACATACATATAACTCTGAACCTTTCAAATACAGTGCCCCAAATCATGAAAAAACATTTGTATCAATAAACTGTATTCATTTAATAATGTATGGGATACATTTATTAAAAGAAAATTTTGCTCACCAGTCTTTTTTTTTAAGTTGTAGATGGATATAATATCTTTATTTTTATTATTTATTTTTTATGTGGTGCTAAGAATCAAACCCAAGGCCTCACATGTGCAAGGCAAGCACTCTACCACTGAGCCAAAACCCCAGCTCACTCACCAGTCTTAAATCATTAATTTGTGTGTGTGCATGCACACACACACACACACACACACATACACAAACACTACTCCTCCAACACTCACACTTTGCTAAAAATGTTCAAACTATGGGAGTTTCAATTTCTGCTTGCAGAGCATACTGCTCAAAGAAAAAGACGGTTCTAATCAATTTACATCCAAACATAAAAAAAAGCATTTTTCTCCCATACTCCAGTCTATATTTTAACTATACTAACTATAAATGCTTTCACTAAGAATATTGTTTTTATGTTTAAATAGTATTAACATAAAATTTGGCAGCTTCCTTAAATTTGCTTTTATCACTCATCACTGTTCCCTAGATTTATTCCAAGTATGTCACATTGGCACATTAAGATACACATCATTTAAATTTCTGTATTATAGTAACACATGGGAAGATGCCACCTTTTGCTTATCTAAGTCTTCCACTGAAGATCACTTCCATATAGAAATAATAAACATTGTTCATTGTTTTCACATTAGCACGTATTTCACATTATTACTAATTAATTAAACAAAGTCCTAGGAGATGCATACAATATAATCAGATGACATTTAAACATCTCTAAGGGTTATAGTCCTACTAGATAGGAGAACTATAACAATTGAGAATTTAATGACATGGTAAATAAATGAACTGAAGTAAATCAAGCGAAGCAGCAACATGATCAGTAATACACACTCTGAGGTGAGAAACATAGGTAATATATAAGGAGAGCTTGGAAGACATATCTATGCGCCCACTACATCTGGAGGGCATTTACAATTTCAGTACAAAGCAGAGTTCAGTCCAGCAACAATGGGAGTTGGATAGCATCTCTATTTTCTTTTACAATATATTAATTTATTTTTAGAAAACAGCAACTTTATTTTATTTATTTATATGTAGTGCTGAGAATCAAACCCAGTGTCTCACACATGCTAGGCAAGTGCTCTACCACTGAGCCACAACCCCACCCCTAATTTTTAATTTTTTTAAATTTTTTCTTTTTAGATACACATGAGAGTAGAGTGTATTTTGACATATTATAAATACACTCTAATTAGGATGCCATTCTTGCAGTTATACATGATGTGGAGTTTCACTGGTTGTGTAATCATATACGAACATAGGAAAGTTAAATCCAATTCATTCTATTGTCTTTCCTAGCCCCATCTCCCATCTTCATTCCCCTTTTTCTAATCCAAAGAACTCCTTTTCTTCCCTGCCTTATTGTGTGTTAGCATCCAAATATCAGACAGAACATCCGGCCTTTGGTTCTTTGGGATCGTAAATTTCAATTAGCATGCAGTCTCCAATTTCATCTAGTTGCTGGCAAATGCCATAA